ACACACACACACACACACACACACACACACACACACGCCCCCCACCATGGAGGAAATCTTTGCAACAAGAGGCACTTGAATGATATTTGGAGAGCTCCCATGGAAAGACCTTCCCCTCACAGTGCAGTGGGACCGACAGGACCGACAGCAGGCTCTCAGGACTCCATCTCCTCTTGGTCCAGGGGCGGAGGCACAAAGCTGACGACTTCATCGTAGGTCAGGCCTAGAGCCCGGGCAGGGGAAAGTGCACGAGGTTAGAACTGCATAGGACTCCATGCTCCTTGAGGAAGGCAGTCCAATCAGCTAGGTTGGCAAGCACTCTGACTCCTACGCCCACCCCCGCCCTGACGGGTGCTTGGAAGGGCTCCCTCAAGTAACTGTCCCATTGTTTCAAGCATACATGGTCAAGGACAGAAATAGAACAGCTACTTTTCTGGGGCCTTTCATCACTGAGTGACAAACACCCCCCCCCACCCCCCCCAGTTTCTGGGAGTGCTCAAGGGTGACCGAGCACTGCCGCACACTGCAAGGCCCGGCAGTCCCGGCAGTGTTGGGAATACACAGGCGTTCTGGCTCTGTGCTTCATGGAAAGAACAGAAGACCGAATTTAAGAGAAAGGGGTGGAGTCCCAGCTGCATCCCACACTAGCTCTCTCATGTTACATCTCTCAGCTCCAGTTGTATTAATGAAATGCCCCATTCTCTACTCATCTCAGGGAGCTGTGAACACAACTCTGAGAAGCATTTGTGTACAAACGCGGGGCTGTGTACAGAGCAGGTCAGAGGCCCAGAGCTCGCATCACCGACAGCCAGAGGACTGTGCTCATCCTGCATTAGAGGCCCAACTACCCGTGTCGGTGAGTGGATTACAACCACTCAGCAGCCTGCCTTCCTCCCCCAGGAGAGGAATGAAAACCTCCAGTTCTCAAGCTCACGGGGCTGCAGGACTTACTTTTCCACTCATCTATGAGGAGATCCCGGCTTTCAAAGGACTGGTCGTAGGGATCGGCCACCGGCTCATCATCAGGGTCGTGGTACTGAGCAAAGTAGGCATGAGCAAGGGCCTGGGCTGCTGTGATCCTCTTATCTGAGTCCAGCACAAGCATCTTCTCCAGCAGGTCAACAGCTGCCAAAGCCAGAGCAGGAGGAAGTGAGAGGTTTTCCCAAGCTCAGGAAAAGTATGCCTCGCTAACAAGCCAATACACAGCTCTGAGTCTTCAGAGTTAAACACAGGAGTCTCCTCTACCACATCTGCTGTGTGCACCTGGAAGGATGGGCTTTTTCAAGAAGTTAAACAAGTGGAATTCTGTTTGAACAAGTTCGTGGGATGTCAGTGTGGTGACCGCCATGAGAGCCAAGATGCATCAAAACCAAAGCTCACAGTCCTCCTCACGCAGGACGTAGCCCAGCTCAGGGGGGCAGGCTGCTGGCTTTGGTTTTGCTTCTGGTCTCTCCTTTCCTGACTCGCTAATTTAAGGTCAATACACATTCATCAAAAAGATCTTTATGGGTGAAGGGAGACATCAGACAGGGCAAGACATGAAAATATAATAATAATTTATAAATTATCAATGGTTCTTGGGGGGGCCCAGAGAGGGAAGGGTAAAAATGAGGAGATGATATACCAAGGGCTCAAGTGGAAAGCAAATGTTTTGAGAATGATGATGGCAACAAATGTGCTTGACACAATGGATGTATGTATGGATTGTGAAAAGAGTTGTACAAGTCCCCAATAAAATGATTAAAAAAATACAAAGAGATCTTTAAATAATGAACATATTGAGGATTTGGGGTGTGAGGGAGACATGATATTTCAATAAAAGGAAATTTTGATTTTACAATTTTTTACCATGAAAAATTCCAAACATACAAAAATAGAAAAGAGCAATAGTATAATGACCATCTATATACCCACCACCCAGATGCACTAACTGCTAACACTTTAAATTATAGAAAACAGAAATATATGTATATTTAGAGATATAAGACATACAAAAATACTTAATAAAAGGATAAATATGACTATAAATGCATTTAAATATATATTAAAGAGCGACGTGCAGAGAGAGCGCACAAACCTACCAGGCACTCCGAGGGATAACGATGAGGCTTGCTGCTCTCATCACGATGGACAGACTCAGAAACGCACAGGGCTGCTCTGCTCTGCCTAGAGGGCAGTGTGCGCAGGAATCGACTCAATGGCAGCGCGCGCGTGTGTAATTAAAAATAAAATTATGCTCTTGTTGTTAGGCGCCATTGAGTAGGTTGTCCCCTTAAGGACATCAGAACAAAATGTCCAGTCCTGTGTCATCCCATAATTGTCCCCTCGCCTGATCCCACCATTGTAGCCGCTGTGTCGGCCAATCTCACGGAGTGCCTTCCTCTCCTTCGCCGTCCTTCCACCCCACCTAACACGATGTCCTGCTCCTGGGACCGGTCTCTCCTTTCAACATGTCCTTAGTATGTAAGATGAAGTCTTGCCATCCTTATTCTAAAAAGGCCTCCAAATACTTCAGCCTAAAGACATCTTCCTACAGCATCATGTTACGGTTACCTTACTGCCAAGTGAACAACTCACAAACACTAACATTCAGTTCACGCCAAGATTTCCCCAGTGAATCCTAAAGTTGTCTTTGACAGCCGGTTTGCTTAACCAAGGATTCGAAGAAGGACCATTTGGCTGGCCTCTTTAATCTCTTTTAATATAGAATAGTCCCTCATCTTCTAAACACCTCCCTTTCCTGACTTTAACCTGAAAAGACCTTCGAGTGACCTTGGGAATATCCATCAGCAGCTGCTTCTTGAGAACCAGGCTAAAGATGCTTCATAGGTAAGGCTGTATGTTTCCCATTGGGATAATGATGATGCATCAGTCATCAATCATCCAGTATGTGTAAATCAGAGTGAGTTAGTGAAGATGTTACATGTGGTCACTGGGTTAAGATGTTTTCTTCTTTGCCCTCAGCCAGTAATCTGTGGGATACTGAAGCATCATGTGATTGTCAGCTCCTCACCATCTTTCACGTACAGCTTTTAGCATCCAGTGATTGTCCTTGCCAGAAGTGATTATCTCATTACTTACTCACTGCCTTTCAGTTCTTTCTGACTCATAGCGACCTCACGGAGCAGTGGTTCTCAACCT